TCACCTCTACAGATATATTACATAAGATATGGGTAGAAAGAAGATAACTGTAAGTTTCGGTGCTGTTTGCAAATGCTGCAGACACGTGCTAAGATTGTTTATACATGAGTAACTTTGATAATGATGTTAAATACAGGATGGTGTGCATATTTTGACAGTATCTATAACAGTTGATTGTGCAGGCAGTTGCAGTTGCAGTGGCAATGGCAGCAAGAGTTATGAGTTGCGCACTTTGAAGCAGAACAATCCAAAAATTATTGTTGTTGTATTCTGTTCATCATCAAACAGAATAACTTGTCATTACTGACATTATTGCATTATCACTCCATCTTGCATCATTGTAATCAATTTATTCATCTTTTCTTCACATACATCTTTGTCAATTTGCGCCTCATTCTCAACAATGATTTGAAGGTCGTCGTGAGACAGCTAAGATTGCTGCAAAAAATGATAATTTCTCGTTTTACTCAAAATTTTTCCTGCATATTTGGTGAAAACTTTTGAATGCTTAACTTATGAGATGAGTGCATACAAGTGCGAATATTTATGCCAAGTAGCCCCTCAGTCGGTACTCACTGCCACTTCACTTTCTTCATAACTTTACTACTTGTTCTACTTTTGTCTTATTGTATGAAAATTTTTATATTCCCATTTTTGTCATATTATTATTATTATTATTATTATTGCATGAATATTAGTTCAATTCTTATCAAATATTTCACACCTGTTGCAGATGAGCATAAAGATTGCTCGCTAATATATTAAGAAGCATTTTGCACAGTTTTCGAATAAAAAAATAAAGTTTGAAGTAAAAACAATAAACATGTCTTTCGCCTCCGTTCAGTTTAAAAACCTTCTATATTAATTGAGAGATTGTACGTGTGTTTAAAAGTAAAATTTATTTTTCATATTCTTCACTGCTTCTCCTTCGTATTATTTGATCCAGCTTATTGAGCAGTCGTCTGTTCCTGACCTGACCTGGTCTGGCCCGATCTGATTCGATTTGATCTAATCGACGTTGAGAACGCAGACTTGACGTGACTCCATTCATTCATCTTTTTGCTCTCCACACAGTATGAATGTTTTAGTGTTTCTTCTCGAGGTCGAATGCTCTATCCATTTTGTTCCTTTCCACATCAGTCATTGATTGATTCAACATCATTCAGTCACCTTTGCATTATCTATCATTACAGTAATATGCAAATTTTTGTTTGAATATCGCAGAGCTGTGATTCTGACTTGTGACCCTTGTCTACTTTCATCATATACCTTTATATTCTATTTCTTATTCACTCATTTTGTGTATTATTGTTAATAGTGACATTAATATCAATATTATGGTATTGTTGTGGTAACATTTCTGTTCCTAATACCACGATGACATGAGAGTGTTGTCTGGCGGCAAGCAGTTCCTTGCGGTTATTACACTTTCTTTCCCTTCACATTTTATTCTCTCTAATGCAACTTTTCATCACAAGCAGAATGTTCTCTTTTTCCCTTTCACTGTATTATTTCATTGAGAATTTGCTTTTTCCCTGCAACCTTTCGCTTTCTTTGTTTTGCATATTCAACTCCACCCGCCTCTTGTCCATCTGAAGCTGCGATTAATCCCTGAGTCTCAGCACAGTAATCAGTAATTTTGTCTTCTTCCAATTGCGATTTGAGTAAGTCAGACTAAGAATTGATTGCAGTGTAGAAAATGACCTGAACTTATTTGTTTTTTGCATGAAGCTTCATGTAAGTGTATCTCAGTTAAATCTATCTAGTGATCACTCACTTCATCAACTACTTACTGAGTTCATAATCAATGCTAGTAATATTCCATGTGAGCAAAGATGACATCTGAAGTTAACTTTACATTAATATGTGCAACATTTGTTGCAATTAAATTGAACATGGACGTACTTTTGGTACAAATGAGTAATCAGTAGTAATTTGGCAATAGAACTATTAATTTATCAGAGAATATTGTGTGATTAAGTACAGAATAAGAGTCTGTTTTCACATAAGAAGCGTTTGAAATGTGCTAATTAGCGAGGTGATATTATTCAGTATTTATTTTATCGCTATGTACGCATCGAACGAAAGCATAGCTTGCTGTTACTTTGCTCATATTCACTTTCTCGCTATTTCTTCCTCCCCTCCACAAAGTTTACAAATTCATTACTTGCTCGTTCCTTTCCGTTCTCTTCTCACTTTCTTCGCTTGCACGCTGTTCCAACCCATTACATTACTTTACAATATATTCATTACTCAACCTCTGCTTCCTATTATACTTGCAAACATTATACAAATAACAATTATATTCGCTCACAAAGAGCATTCATTAAATCTAGCTAGCAGTTGCTTGCAGTAAGCTAGAGCAAATTACTGTTCACTTGCTTACAAAGTAAAATTTGAGCGAAATACTCCGCGCGAACATCATTTAAAAATTGATTATGCTTTTAAACGTGACAGATACAGTACTGTTATATCTACGTCACTGCAACCAGTCACATTCTATTATTATATCTAATTGAATTCGGTTAATCTAATTCTTACCAACTGTTTTTGGATGTACAAACAATTTTCTTTCTTCGAATTATTTCTCGAATCCTTGCTTTCTCTAACATTTATCGACGGTAATTTGGGATAGGATATTTTCACTTCGGTGACAAACCAGTAGAGTTATGCTCTTAATTTAAACGGGTTTACGACACATTGACCCAGTAACCCCGAACGGGTCAGCCGATGACCTAAGAAATTAGCGGTTGGAAGCAAAGTGTAATTTTTTTGTTTTTTTTCTACAATTGTTGATTTCAATTTTAATTGTTACAAATCATTTTTTCAGGTACTTTTTGATTTTATCAATAAAGTAATTGAATCTGTCATGCATCAGTTATTTTAAAATGGATTATTTCAAACTTAATCACACTTACACATTTCTTGTTGTTATTGTTTTTGTGGTTTTTTTACATATCGATTAGTATATTTACAGCATCACATCCGACTTACTCTACTTTTTAGCACTGAAGTACAAAGTCAAAAAATTTAGAGCAAATTCACGCATGATAATCTCATGTTTATTTGTTCTTTTTTAAAAGTGTTTAATTTGCTATTGTAAAGGAGCGAATGTTTAAAAAATATAATATTTAACTTAAAGTTTTGTTATTCACAATATAATAAATTGTAAATGGAACTGGGACTACTATAACGAAAACTCAATAACAAGAACTTAATTACTTAATTACAGGAAAACGACCAAAAGGAGTGATAACAAGTTTTTTAAATATGTTATAGAATAAATATTTTTTTTAATATATTAATTAAATTTCGAATAACCGTCAAATATATTGCATACTCAGTTTATATTTTTGTCTCCGACCATTTCTGTCATTTCATGCGTTTTCCAGTAAATTACATCTTAATAATTTGCTTTCACTTTTCAAGTTTCTGTGATATGCACTTTATCATTCAAGGTCGCATGTTGTTTATGTTTACTAAATTGAATATTAATCACCAATTTCATTGCTGTTATGATGAGTAAATTAATACTAAATAGTAAATAATACTAATAAGAGTAAACTTCTCTTTCTTGTTGTAAGGGAGTATATTTTTTTTAATGGCATGACATGAATAGTGATGCAAAAGTAAATCGTTACTTGCAAAGAAGTATTTGCCATATAAGGAATATTTGATTGTTGACGTTTTTTAAAATATCCCTATCTATTTCTGTCATTTATTTACTGACCTCACACCCATCACGTCTATTTATTTACTGCTATATTATTTACTTTACTCACTTCATCCAGTAGTTTTTGTTTCCTAGGCTGGCATTGTAACTACATTAATCAAAAGCATTTCTCTAACTTTCTGTGTGTTTTCTAGAAGAACTTGTTCATCTATTAAAACTTATTTGGTGAAGAAAGCAGATGTTTTGTTACATTAATAAATCAACCTGATATAACATCTCGCCTTATCATACCCATTGGTGTTGGTGTTGCAATTTATCATTCTTTCTTTACGTCTTTAGCTGAATATTTTCTACACGTCCCTGTACGGTTTTTAATTCTCAGATAATTACTGTTTCAATATTTTACTTCCATTAAGTAAGTGAAGCATTGAAGCAGTAATTAATTGATGATTTATTCTTATTTGGCGTTTATTCTATTTTACTTTGCACGGCCAGTAGCGTTATTATAAATTTCTCACTTTTACCATTATGTTTAGTTTTTAAGCTGTTTCATCTTTTGCATTATTCAAAATATAATTGTATATTTCTCTTTGTTGAAAAATTTAAAAACAAAGCCATGGATAGTAATTGAAGACAGAAGCCATAGCTTGATAAATTTTGACATTTAATTTATGTAGGAATGAAATATGATTGAAAGTTAGGTCAGTCAGCTCTAAATCAATCATTTAACTTTATTAATCACATAACTGTTGTCGCTGCTTTGCTTGTTTTATGTACTTCGGATTATTATTCTTTAATTCGTCACGTTATTCATGTAATTTGCGTTTTTAGTTTCGTTGCATACGCCATATCATTAGTAAGTTCTCAATGTTTATACACTTATTATAACGTTACTCTATCACGTATTATAACGTTACTCCATAAAAGTTGTCACAGCACCTTAAATGCGTAATTTTATTACCGATTACAAAATATGACCTCAAGTTGAAATAATAGTTTGCATTACGCAGTCAGATAGGCAAATATGCAGTATATTTTTATTACAAGAAAAGTGACTATAAGAGTTATATTATCAGTAATAAAAAGTCATGTCTTAACTAACTGTCTTTTATCAAAAATTTTTGTTGTCCTTGAAAATTTTTGCCCTAAATATGGGATTAATCGTATAAATTTATTTTGAATTTATGTGACGAAAATAATTTTATCTTGTTCTTTCGTTTTAAGAAATTGCATTTTTCAATAAGATGATGTATGTGCCTTCGTTTGATGTTATCGAAGTTAATTTGTAAAATTGATGCCAATTTATTGAATTTCAGATGAACTACGGATGAAACCCATCAGCAAATATTTTTTAGATGCTATCAGTGCATTTCCAGGTTTAGAAGTGCATAAATTCTTCCAAATTCATGGCAAGTATTGTCAACATCAAAAAATAAAAATCTTATTCATATATATATATATGAATTTATTAAGATATGTTGTTGCTGACTGTGAGCTACTCTAGACACTATATGTACAGCCATTATAAAAATTTTTGTTGCGTAAAAATAACAGCTCTTTTAAATAAGTTTGTAAGATTTCATTTCAGGACTTCGTGGGAGCAGTACGCATGGAAAACCGGTTATTGAATTACGATTATCAGCGGAAGTGCCTTTTGATCTTTTGCCTTCGTTAATTTTTTCCACGTATTCTCTTTACACAAGGTATGGTGGTATTAATAACAACAAATTGAGTCCGACTTTTGCTCCTTAAAATAGCAATGCCACTTTAGGCAATTCCTATACATTACATGAATGTGCTCGTTTTTTCAGAGACTTTTCTGTTGGAGTTTTGATAAATTTACCGATTGTAGGAGTTCTTCTTTTAAGGATTTAAAAATTAAATTTACATTTGATAATTTATAGATTAATTATTTCGGGACGTTTTTTTATAGATGCGGCGATAAAAAACATACTTTGTACATAATCATCGATATTCGTGATTGCTTAGAGGAATCCCTTCACAGTTTTTCACAGTCTATGCAACGCTCAGCTGTAAATTACCCACTGCCTTTATTATATAATTGCTATTAATTTTTTTTCAGTAATATTTATTAAACGAATTTAGTGTGGTAAAAAAGAATGTATTTCAAATACGCGCTTTATTCATTGTCAAATTTAAAAGAACTGAGAGAAAAAGATAATAATGCAGAAAACAGTTCTATCACTAAAATTCACTTCATTAAAATATTATGCATTCTTCTTTTAGTCATGGCTTGAGGGTACGATTGACTGCATAGTATGGGTTGTCGGGTCATGTTTATACAATATAGAAACTATAATCAATGAAGATCTCATTTTGTCACGAACTAAAGTATGTTATCATATTTTCATAAAATACTGATATTCTATTTTTTTAAAAAGAGAATGTCGCGATTACTCAGCTTTGCGTTTTGTCATTTTTATTATAAAAATAGTGAATGACATCATCTGCGCAGCTTTTAATCTTTAGAATGTCGTGACAAGTATTGAAAGGCTTACGAGTCACATTGAAGCGGCCAATTTTTCAACAAATTTAGGTGGTTTGATTAATCCCGAAATTACGCGAAGCTTCTTCCTGATGCGATCTGTTAGTTATGAAAGTTTGTCTCGATGCGTAGGATTGAAATTTTTAAGTTGCAAAGCAAAGTTTGATGTATTCATTGTTTTAACTGTTATTGGAAGATCTGGAATCATTTAACAAAACTTAATTAGATATTTTGCATAGATTTTATGAAAAATACTGAATATTTTCATTTTTATTGGTCGTCAGTTGCTCTATAATGAAAAATATGATTATTTACTAATTCTATTTCTTTATTACTCGTTGACTGACCCAGAACAAATCTTATTTTAATGGTTCTTCATGAGATTCGTGAGAACTATTACACTATTTTTACTGTTATTCTTTGTAAATTTAGCAATTTTTATTATATAAAAATAAGCTATCCGTTCATATGTTGTATTTGCTTAGAATCAAGCTTTATTTCAGAGTGTGGAAGACTTGTTAAAAAGAACTCATCAAACAGCAAAACTTTACATGCGGTTACACGAGCATTTGAAGCTATTCGAGACGCCACAAGATTTTAGAAATATCAATACTGATCTATTGCGAATTCAAATTGAAAAGTTTGTCGCTTTCTTCATCATTTTCATTCGCTGCACTAAAACTGCATTTGCTTCCAAATGTAAAGAAATTGAAGTCAAAATATAAGCTTATAGTCCTTTGCATTAAATACATTATTTATATGCATCAATAAAATTGCGTGAAAATAGATTAAAGAATAACTCTCGGAAATAAAATTTTGGTACTGTGAGTACTCGGGAAAATTTACTACATTGGAAATTTTTATGCAGATTTCACATTTATTGTTTATGCACATTTAGCTTTTAGTCATTATAATGTTATAGTAATCTAAGTGGATTTTTTTGTGATGTCTAAATTTTCCCTATGAACTTCGCTACTAAGAGCAAATGACGAGGATCGTATTAGCAGGAGTACTTTTCAATTATTTTGTTAAGTAATTTAATTGTTTCAATACGTATCGTATTATTGCTAAGTGCTGAAATGAAATCTTACAAACTTTATTTTATGATAAGATATGTATATTTTTGAATACAAGATTAATTTTGATGGTGCTCAAGAATTGTGTTTATTCACTGTTAAGCTCCTTTTTGTGCATACAGACATTGTTGTACTTTACAGTTTGAACAATCAGTGGGATGCTGCGAAAAACGAACCAGATGTAGTATTTTTGTTACAGTGTGGAGAATCGCTATGTGAAGAGTTAAAGACACAATATTGCGATCTATTGCATCTTGATTCTTATCTCTATAGGCATGTTATTTTCATGTTTTCACTGTTTCACTTAAATTTGTTGAAAATATTTTCGTAATTGTAACTGCTAAATTTGAAACAATGTTTGGAGATATTTAGTATCGAAGAAACATGGCTCTTTTATTGCAGGTAATTAACTTCTGTATTATTGAAATTTCTAACATGTACTCTTTTGTTATGAACTTAATTTCAATTTCCTCTAGTAATATAGTTACCATTCAATTGTGCATATTCTTTAGAACTACGGTGAAGAGTGCTTAAGTACGTATACTTCATCTTTTTTTGTAGTGAAGCAAATTTTCAAAGTCATTATTCTCTAAATGTTCTTTTTCGTTTTCTAAAGCACGAAAAATCACCAGCAATATGCCTTTCTTTGCTGAGAAAGCGGTTGTTTTTTTTTCATCAATAAGATCAGAAGAATTTATCTTCTTTCTTTCTTATAAGGCACTGATTGTACCTTTTGTTTCTAGGTAATCATTTTTTGGTTTTTTGTACTTTTTGTCTATTAACAAAATATTTATTTTAAGTGTTAGGTGTTAATGAGTTTTGTATATCAAGCATATATTTGTTAGCTTTTGAGGTTAATATTAATTTATTTAAAAAACATTTCTAATTTTTGTGGTGGTTGCAATTCTATTTAATAAACATTTTGTGATTTTATTATTTAGTTTCTAATGTCACTTTTGTTTTTTTTTCTTTAATTGCATGCTTCAATTATATTATTAACGTTTATTTTTGTCATCAATTTTTTACAGTGATGTGATGGAGCGCGCAGTATCAAGCTTCGAAGAAGTTAAGTTAGCCATGCAACGAAGTAATTCCAGTATATTAAAACGACTGAACGCTCTTCATTGTGTGTTAGAAGCAGTTGATTTTATTAAATACGTTGATGAGGTTTGATTAAGTAATTCTCATAAGTTTTTCGGTATTTCTATGAATAGAAGTTTCGTCAAGGATTTCTTTTGGAATGATTGATGTTTTCTAAAATTTTTTCAGATGACAAAAGTTATCAATACTGAAATGAATGTACTGGAACAGTTGAAAATTGTCAGGATATTTAGTATTGTAAGGCTCACCGCACAAGTCTGTTTGAATTCTGAATTGATAATTTTGAGATTAGATATTCTATTAGCTCTTCTGATATGCTGTTGTTGTTGTTGTTTTTTTTTTGCCGAATAATACGTTCAGTACTTTATTGTATTTTAAAATTATATCATGCAAAATAAGACAACACAACCTTATAAATAATATTTCAGATTAAACAAGTGGATAACAAAGTTACAGAGTTGACAGAATGTCTGGATGAAGCTGATGATCGTTTGGAAAAAGCGAAACATTTATCAGAAGAAGGCTCATTTGGAAATGCTGATCGGGAAACGATTGTAAATACATTCAGTTCCTTTAGTACTTTCTTAATATCCTGCAAACAACGTATTAGTGAAGTAAAGCCTATTGTTCAAGCAGCACTTGATTCCCGTATTCTGATTGATCAGGTTTTTGATTTGAATTTATCTAAAAATTAGTAGTCAAATGAAGTTTGTGTAGCTTTTTTTTGACTTACTCAGAATTTCCTTTATACTGTTTGCAAGAAGAGTTAAATATTGAAAATATGATACTTCAGCTGTATGATTGGGTTCTGCTTTATGCTAAGAGAAATGGCGACAGCAAAGAAAAGGAAATGCTGATTTTGAAATATCCATCTGCCGCTGTTGATCGTCTTCATGAATATCTTGTTTCTGGTTCGAATGATTGCGCTGTAAGTTTCAATATTTCAAATCGCATGTAACGAATAGTTTGGCAAGTCTATGAATCCAACACAAAGAATAGTTTTTAATTATTTATGAAATGCTTGTTGTCTTCAAAATAATAAAAACTGAGTACTTTTCAAGATAATTAATTTTATTTTAGGTTCGACAAGAAATCAAAAAGCTGCTAGTTGACTGCGAAAAAGCTATCACTGATTTAGATCCTGCAGTAAAAATTTCTGATTTGCATTGTGAGATAAGTGCAAGTTCAAGTAGGGGAAATATTGATGGTACTGTCATTCAAGAAGCTAATGTTATTGATTCATGCTTCAGTGGTGACTGTTCCGTTATGGATTTCTTGCTGACGAAAAGTGGTTCCGATCTGTCAGATTCAGTTTCAGACACTCCAATAGAAGTTTATTCTGATGTTGAGGAAAGCTTTAATATTAATTTACGAAATGAATTGAGTGATGTCACAAAACGCTCTCAGCGATCAACTAGCCCAGCCGCGACTCAGTACGAAATACCAATTTCAAAGGTGACTAAATGCGTGAAACATCGGCAGCAAGCATTTATGGTACTTTTTTCTGTGTATGTATGATTAAATTTGAAGTATCATTTCTTTGCTTTTTGATCATAATAAATTAGTGTAATCATAATTTTAGGATCAAGCAGAATTGGAAGAAATTCGATGGCGCCGTAATTCTTGGGCACCATCAGTGCATCCAGAATCACTGGAAGTTGTTGAAGAATCTGCAATTGGAGCTGCACCTGTTACTCTTGATATGACTAGTAAAGTATGTATTTCTTGTATTCATATTTACACTAACTTTATGTATTAAATTTGTTTGCATTACTTTTTATTTTGCAAAAAATGTGGAGAAGACGTTTAATTTATACTAAATTCTGAAACTATATTTATTCAAACAAGGTTTTTAATCAAGAATCTAATGAAATGTTATTAAATAATTGTTCTTCTGCTTGTTGATAATAATTTTGGCTTTGTGAAGATAATAACAACAATGTCAACTAATACGTTACACAAACGCCTGGACCAGAGACGATCTGTTAGTACTGTACCATTGCGTCTTCCTAACCCATTTTTGATCAATGGAACTGCTCGGCCTGGATCAGCACGATTTGTTATATCACAGAAATCTCGACGTCCATTGATTCAGGCTTCTAGTAACGATGTTTTAGAAGAGGTTTTTACTCTATTTTTTGTAGAGCACTAATTTTCATGATTAATTTGTTCAGATAAATAGGAATTTGTAACGATTGTTTTTTTATAGGATTGCCGTTCTGCTCTTAGTGCTTTTCAGTTTTTGGATGATGACTGTTGCAGTTCAATAGAATCATCTCAGCCGTCTCTTACATCTGGTTCATATTTCATCATCGTATAATCTAATTTCTCAAAACTGATTGGAAACAATTTGATGTTTCTTGTAATTTATAAACTTTTTTGGAACGTCTTTGAGAGATTTTGTCTCAGTAATTTTCCGTTATGTTTTTATAGTAGGAATATCTAAAATTCCTATTACTTTCTTTTTTGTATTAAATATTACATGAATACTTCTAGAATTTTCCGCACTGGATTTTTCAATGCGTTCGGAACAGATTGATATGATTCGAGATTGGTTAAGTCCGGCAAAAACTAGTGACGCAAATTTCAGAATTGAATGCACTGTTGTACGAGATTTATTAGATTCAGAAATCGATTATGTAGGTGCCTTGAGACTTGTGGTTCAGGTAAAGTCTTATTTTCTTTTGTGATCACTTATGCTTTCGAAAAATAATAAATCTTCGTTCCATCGCATCGCAGTTGTTTTCTATATATTTGAAGTGCAAAAAATTAAGGCAATAGAGTAATCACTCTGATTATTTTTTGTTGTCAAGTATGATTTTATGCAATATTTCCTAGGCAGACATTCTTCTAGGACTTTGTTCCTGAAATGTCTCGAGTTGATATTCCAAGTGCACTTCGTGGCAAAAAATCATGTATTTTTGGGAATATCGAAAAACTTTTTCAGTTTCATGCTCATTCATTTTTGCCTCAACTTATTTCACGGCTAAGGTAAGCTGTTTTCTGGTATTATATGTTATTGATTTTCCCTCCGTGTTCAAATTAAGATTCAATGCATAACATATTAGTTCTTACTATTATCAAGTTCTTAATTCTTTACTTGTTGTAGGTTTCGCAGTTCTAATGAGTCACTCTCAATGACTATTGGGCAATTATTTCTCGATAACATTAACTCTTTTGATTTGTACGCATTGTATGCGAAAAACAAGCCTAGATCTGATCAATTAATGATCGAAGCTGGACAAAAATTTTTCAGTTCCGTGCAGGTTGGTTGAATCCCTCTTTAGACAGATAAAATGGTAAATTAGTGTTTCATTCAATCATGAGGTACTTTCTGATCTTGTGATCAAACCTTTCTATGCTTCTTTCTCGTCATTTTGATATAATTTTTTAGAGTATGGCCGACCTATCTCATCTATTAATTAAACCAATTGAAAGAATAAGCAAGTATGCTCTTGCACTTCAACAGCTTCTCAATGCCGCTTCTCCTAATAAAGTGGTAACTTAATAGTGCTATAATAAATATTTTCTTCCTAATTTGGTTCTGGGAAGCTGCAGTGATTAGTATTGGATTCCAGGAAGTCCTGGATGTTTTGGATAAAGTAGCTATGATAGTTGGTCAACAGATTCGTCGCGGCACGGATTTGTTAGCAATGGAACGAATCAGTGGTTGTGATTTAAATCTCAAAGAGCAAGGGAGCTTGTTGCGACATGATACGATGTATGTTACTGAGAAACGTGGTCTGCAGTCTAAGAAACGTGTACGGAGTGCATTTCTTTTTGAAAATTGCGTCGTTCTCACGAAACCAAAATTGTCTCGTTCGTGGAGAGGAAGTACTTTGGATGAGCTGAAATACAAAAACAGTATACAGGCTAGCAAATTTTATTTGTCCAATTATTTTTTATTTTTATTCATCTTCAAGATATCCCTTCCGTCATACACTTTCTACATATAATGAGTCAAATTTTTGTTGGGTAAAGCTTGTACAGACCCTTCCTCTTTAGCCAGCAATGTTACAGGTCTCTGATCTACCATAATATTATCGCTCTATTATTCTGATGTAATCATCGGCTACGCTTCAATTTCTCTCAAGTGTTGCAGTCGATGAGACATTTTCATTGGATAAAAATTCCAAATTTGACTATTACTTTGTTTGTGCACTGTTTGTATTCTATGCACTCTGTTTTAGATGACTGATTGTGGCTTAACGGAAATGGTAAAAGATTCGAGAGTCAAATTTGAATTGTGGTTTAGGAAGCAAAAGAATTCATTTACATATGTAATGGAAGTAAGTCATCAATACCTTTATGTAATCTCATGTTACTTATACTTGCGCTTTTTTCATAAAATTAAACTATGTTACGAACTTTTGGAAAAAGTCTTATCATTACAATTTTGTTTCAGGCTCAAACTCCTTCTATTCGTGATTCTTGGGTCGAAAATATCCGTCACATTTTGTGGGAACAAGCTATTCGAAGCCGTGAGAAAAATATTCGTGAAAAAGCAAACATGGGCATTGAAATACATTCTTCGTATATTCATTTAGGTCCAAGAGCCACGGTACAGTAATATTTACTATTTGAATAAATGGTATGGATGAAGAGTGATAGGAAAAGTTGATTAAATAGCAGTTATTCACTTTGAGAACTGTAAGAAATGTTGGATAAAATTCTTAACGTTGAATGAGAATTCATTTCGAATGTGTATCATATTACTGTTTAATACGAATATGAAGCTGAATGATCTAAAATGAGGCGCAAATCTTGTCCCAGCTATTCAGGATGTATCATTATTAAGTGAACACTTATTTTAATTATATGTAAATATTTACTTTCTACTAGTTCGAATAAATGTCTGCGAACTACTTGGAAGCATTCTAAAACTCCAATTGCTGCTTTCTTTATAGCTCAGTGGATTACGCGATTTTGGTTTTGTGGATGGTAATCGACGACCGCGTTCTTTGATATCGTTAACAGCATCATCATGTTCAAGTTCTAACAATTTGACACGTGTCCAAAGTAATTTTCGTTCATATCGTCATGGTATGCTCATGATAGAAGTTTTGAAAACGAGACTTTTAGGCCTATATTGTATTGTTTCATTGTAGAACAAAATTGTTTTGCCCTCTTATTTATGTTAACTCCGAGAAGTATGCTTCCGTAACTAAATGACCGACTGTTTCAAGATAATCTACTTTGTTATCTTCTTTTCAATTATGTGAACTGATTTTAGTGAGTAGAGGCGTTTGTGATGTTGCTGGTGATCACCTCTGCCGAGTTGAAGAAGATGACGAGTGGGAAAGCATGAATGAATCCAGCTCGAATGTCAAATATTCAGAAAACACAATACCACGTTTCCGGGCTCCACCACCGCCAAACAGTAGTCGGAATCATCAATGAGAAAAATGTTAAATAACCACTTCTGCGAGGAATTTAGCTCTGGCGTTGTAATTATACCATTTTCTTGAACTGTGTATGCATAATTATCATGTTCCAAATGTGAGTTTTCTGAACTGTTTGGGACGAGATGACCTACAAAAGGATAAAATCTCTTAGCGTTTGTCATTTGCGTGAGTGATAATTTCATGCTTGTCGTAGCTAATAACTTCACTTTAACTTTTGCTCCATTCTTTTAGATAATTCATCACTCAGAGTTACCCAATTTTACTTTCTCCTAAGACATAAAAGTTTCCATCGATATTATTGTTTGGGTATAAAGCAGAATAATGCAAAAATGTTAACAATATTGCTAAATGATTCTATCTAATATGCCTATAAGATACTGGACGCACTAACCCAAATTTATTAATTTTCACGGCTCTACACTGTATATGTCAAATTCCAATTCGTCTGCCTTACTGAACTTAGCTCAGCTCAACTTTTCTGTATGTTTCTGTGTAGATCTTCTTTCGGCATTCTATATTAGCTTTCAAAGATTTTACTCAGATGTATATAAACACATGAATAGATTATAAGCTCATCAACTATTTTCTAGTAGTTTAGAAGTATCTCATGACGTGCTAATATTACAGTTAGATAGAAAAAAGTAAGAAAGTGCATAGTTAGCATTCGCGTTTGCGAACGTTGACTTATTAAAACGATGTCACTTAATAGCAAAATGGAAATAGTAAAATATGAAACAAATCTAAGTCAACATTGCATTCATTCTGGTAAATTCTCAAATGCAGCAATCTATGCTAAGCATTCACAATAATTTATATAATACGTTCTAATAAAAAGAGATCAGTCGTTTCGAGTTCGCAAAGTATGATGACATAAATAAAAAGAGAACAACAGATGATATATGTGTGGTACCTTCAAATTCCCAAAACATGTACAACACCAAAACAGCTATGTCACTGACGGAAGCTGGACTTTGAAGTGTTCTAAATCGCTTTCTGGTAAATTTAGTGCAATTAGTTGGATGGGCTGGATATTTGTGTCAATCGGTAGTTGAATTGGTTGTCCAATTTGAGTAGCCTGTACGACTGAACCAGACGTTAGTGTCCCTGCTTCAGAAGGTGCTACCTGGAACGCGAAAGAATGCATTATTTACCTCCGGAATGTGACCATGTGTCATACAACAACGGATATACGAAGATTGGAGTAATACAAATTAATTTGATTTCAGCTGTTCGAAGAAGTGAAATACATACAAACTTCTAGAGTCAAGTTTTTCATCAAGCAGACTATGGAAGGCGATGACAGGAAATGGTCCAACTTTTATTACTTCACAGCCTTGAATCATTCCAACAAGAGATTTTTGGAAAAAGTTAGCGAATCAGAATTTTAGAACAAGATAAACTGTACTTGCAAAAGATACTGGACATTTCCATCGTTAGAGGCGACAGTCTCAGAGCTTTCAGAAGCTTGAACTCCTTCGTATACTTCCTGGTAAAAATATTTATGATTAAGAAAATATATTTCGAGATAGGGACGAAACTTCTTTTCTAGCTCAGTAAAAATAAAGTTAAAGGTCTGTTACAGTTAATCTGTAAATAATTTTTCTTTTTATATAATTAATTCGTCATTGCTACACTGAATTCAAACACAACTCAGGACAGCTACTGTTTTAAAATGCAGCACTCAACTGATTTTGTCCCAATCAGTGAATTTACATTTTAAAAGTAAAACAACGCCTACACAAACTAATATATTCAACATAGATGTCGTCCTATTTCACTAGCAAATATAAATAAATAAGGTTAGGACACGATCCAGCAACATGGCTAAATTGTATCCCGACACTCATTGCGCTCGTCCCGGATACAATTCTGCATGTCGATCTCCGCTGCTTTGTCGTCATTGAATCCACGGCTCTGACCAAATAAGATGTTTTTGAGTGTCTTCTTGAGCATTATCGATCGGATATATGCTTTAACATAATGGAAGTCCGTCACTATCCCATCCCAATTCATCACTACGGAATTATTTCGATCCTTCATTTCATCTTTGCTCCGAGTTTATTAGGCGGTAAATCATACTTCCGTTTCTTCTCGGTTTCGACTGCTATCAACCTGTCCTGACCAGTGATGCCAAACTAAGTCAGAGTGCTTCGTGTCGTTTTTTTTGTGCAGCAGGATGTCGTGTCTATTCCTTATTCTAATCGCAGTTCTTACTCGCTTGTCGGCTCTTATCTCCATCTCATTTTCACCCATGCGTAGTCATTCCGCATGCATGAAAATGTGTTAATACCGTGACTGTACTCGTCTGGTATAGTCGCGGTATTAACTTTTTCGCACTGTGTTGCTAGATGGCCTAGTGTGTTAACACGTTCCCTACAATGAGGGCACATATCTTTTTCAGCTCCCAGCACATTTCTCTACCGGGAGTGTCAGTATCTTGCTTCATTTTGTAAAGGCGTTCCCATGTTGGAACTACATTGATGATTTGGCCATGCTTTACGTAGCGACTTTTCTTTTCTATCTCGCTAAAGACGAGCGCTTGCTGACAGATTTTCGACAATAGTATTATCTGAGAGGTTACATTTCGTCCTGTGGTAGAGTACAGAATTACTAGAATTTATAAGCAAGTACTGTTTCAGAATTGCTTCAGAAAATGTTTCAGAATTACCATCATTAGATGAGCTAGGAAGCAAGCACGGTTTCTCCGAGCATATCTTTTGCTTAACACTGCGAAACCCATCATCCTTTAACATTTATTGTCTCTAAACATGCAGATTGAGTATAAATTCTGTATCCATCCAGTAATAAACTATCTGATAATGTAGTCTATTACTTTGAATATTTTTGGTCCCAGTATGAGCACCCTATTGTAAAAGTTTATTAAACCAATGGAGTGCTCATTTACTACCTTGATAAAATTATTTAGTGTAGTCTTGGCTAGTTGCCCAACTATCACTAAAATCACTGCTTAAAGTTTATCACAGCTTTCACGATGAGAGCAAAAATCTTGTATTCTACTATTCTGAGGTATTTATACCCTTGAGTTCCTTCTAAGAGCGCCATATGTTGGTCATACCTCAGTATTGGTGGTTGACTTTGCTGGACTAACCTCTAACCCTACTATTTTAAAGAACATCTTAAAAAATCTGTCTTAAAGAATATCTTAAAGAACATTTGGACTTCATCGGCCATAAATTTTACAAAATCCTCATCAGTTGCAAAGAGCTTGAAATTATCAGCAAATAATAATTTCTAACGAGCATTCTTTAATCAATGGAACCGTCACCCTTGGGTGCCTCATATGTAGATCCGTACACAAAACGAATAGCAGTGAGAAAAAGTTTTTACTCTAGAAAACGTCTACTTTTTTCTTTACTATGTTTTCCTCTCTATTTTTCACTGTATCTCATGTCTCTGGGAGTGTACCACCAGTCCTACGTACTTCGCTTAACTTCTAGATAAACCTTGAATTGGAGCATATTTTCGTTGAAGTAGGTGTCAGGTCTAGAGCAAATTGATTGTTTTCGAGTATTTTCTGCGCTATTACTTTCATCTTTGTGACGTCTTTGACTGCTGCTGCCAATTTTGTTACAACCGATCGCACTAGCAATGTTGTCATTTTCATAATATAGTCATAATAATGTGTCCATAACAGATAAAGGTATGACAAAAACAAGAATAGGAACCAGAAGTAGCGAAGAATAATATGTGATTTCAAAAACCAAGGAAAAGTCAGACGTTCACAATTGTCTCAAGCGTGAATATAACTTGCATGTATAATGGAATAGGACGCCATCCACGTTAACTTTATATTTCTAAAGCATTTTGGGGTTTTTAGTATAGTAGATTAAATACGTTACACTTATAGTCGACTAAATAAGTTACACTTGTAGTAGATTAAATACGTTGCACTTATCATAAAATGTGCAGAAGAAAACAAAATACATTATCCACCTGCTCCGTCTTCTTGGGATCATCTCGAGGTACGATGTCAATTAGGAAATCATACATATCATTACTAAAAAAAGAGCATATTTTAACACATTTTGTTAATATCTTTTTTTGGTCTTTTTCACAAAACCAAAGAAGCATTTTCGGTATTAATGAAAATTTTAATAAACAAATCTTTAAAATTTGTAGATACAACAAAGATAAAAAGCTGATTTAAATTAAAAAATCGTTACCTGGCTATGGCTTGAGAAACATCTGACTTTTGCAATGTCTTTCGTTTATTATCCTCTGTCAATTTCCAAGCATTTAGTGCCAATTCTTCAATAAATATTTCTGATGCTTTAGCAAGTAAACTTGGCGTTTCTGAGGCAATCATCTCAAAAACATGATTAATTTGTCACAACAATTTTTCCACATTTTCAACAAATAAGTTTGGAACTGGAAGCTTGGAACAGTGTAGACAAATGAAAGAAATTGCAAATAAATGAAGCTATAACAAATTTAATATAGAGCGAAATTCTTACAGATGTATTAATGTGTGAAAATTATAAAAAATTTTTCAAACTACTTTTAAGAACAAATTTCTCAGCAGTATGAGTTGAAATTCGAAATCAAAGTCGATTTTATCTTGCAAGTCATGAAAGAATTAAATCAAATTTACCATCCTTCTTACATCATCATCCAGTTTCATAATTTTTTTTATCCTTGCTAAGGGTAGCTGCAGATCTTGATGACGACTTGTGTCCCGTAGTGTTTTCTGTATATACATGATAATTCTTAAGGGAGCAAAGTTTGTTCAATTTCTAATTATGGTTCTCTACTTCTGATTTAGAAGTTTTTATAGTAACTTTTATAATAAACTTTTGTCACCATAGTCCATGAAAGTGCAAATACAGAGCACACCACCAAACTTTCAACTATCTGAATATTAACAAACCGGATCAATTGCATTAATTTTTGTTCGAATACGAGGCCAAAACGATTGTATTTCCCGATCTACATCATATATCTTATCTTCTTTTCCGCATTCCACATGAGACTTATCTTGCTGCAGGAGTGAAAAGACAGAAATTTAATAATGTAACTAATAAGTGGAGATGAAAAAGTTGAAGTGCCTAGTATAGAATTTACTGCTATTAAACAAGAAGTAATCTTCGCAATTTCCTTAATTGATAGACTTCAAACTTCAATCCCTTCCATCATAAGGTTCATTTGTATAATGACAGTACTGTCAAAAACAAAAAACAAAAAAAAACATGTAAATAATTTACTTTTGAAGTAGATGGCTCGGTTTGAAAGAAACGGTTTTTCTTGCGCATCACCTTTGATGGACACATATCAGCATTATTATTCTGAGACCTCTGACGATGTTTGCCATTAGTTGCAGTCATCTCTGAAGCGTAGAGCCAATCGCCCTACAAAAGTGTCCTAGAAATTACCAATATCAGGGACTTTCAGATGAATGAAAATATATACCTAATGCTACTACGTAAATATATTGTTATCAGTATAAAAAAATTTCTGTAATTTACTTTTCAGTAACTTTTTTCCAATATAACAAAAAAACGATACCAATGCACGCAAACACTTTCACGAACGGTTCCGGAAAATAAAGTTATTACCACAAGCTTTTTGTTTACAAAATAATTACTTCTCTTACACATTCATAACACTTCATAAAAAGGTATATTAAGATTCTTTAGATTCCAGTCCATTCTTATAAAATGTAACATATATATATATATAATTTTGTTACATTATATATATATATATATATAATCTATTAATTTGAGAGTAACGAGACTGCCGAAAGCTATAACCAATGCAGATTTGATCTGAATACTTTTGCCTATGTCGAAAACCATTACCCAACTCGCGTAATTTTTGCTACATCTCACATCGCTTACTTCACCAAGTCCTAACTACGCCCTTAACAAGCAAAGAACTCAACTAACTCTATAGATGCAGAATGTTATGGTAAAAACAAGTTGTATTGAATGTGTACCGTGTAGCCGTTTTCGTTGTAAGACTTGGATTTCAAAAACTAAAATTACCACCTTGTTTCATCAGGAAGTACTGATGCTAGATTTGACAATGTTTGTAAGAGAAGTGCAAATTGTTTCCACAGTTGAAGGAAATAGATAAGTTTACCTAACTTGCCCCAATTTTTTTGACCTTTATATGATCTATAAGTGACGAACTTTCATTGCCAGTTTGCTACAATTCATTTAAATAAATAAACATCGTCTTGTCAGACTAATAACAAGTAAAATTGACATTGCTTGTGTGTGAAATTGAGAAGCTACAAATACTATATAAAGGTCAGAAGGTCATTAAAAATGTTTGTTTTGCTTGCCAGTGACTTGATTAAAAACGAAGTAAACGAAGCAAAATATAAGAAAACATGTATCAATTATTGCTTGTTATCGAGAATAGAATACTGTCATCTCTTTCTCCTTCAAGATTTTATCAAGATAGATTTCTGTGCAAGTCTAGATCTCAGCTTCTTGAAGCTTATCTAGCATGCATACTTTATCAGCATCAAGCATCACAGATTATATGAGCATTATTTACTCACTCACTCATTTCACTTCATTATTTGCTCAATCTTTTTTAGTTCAAAATTTATTTTGAGAAGTGATAAGCTAAAAAATAGCATCTGATATTTTCTTTTCCCTTCTCACTCACATTTTTTCGTTACTTCCATTTGCACACTAAATTATTGCTAATTGCTGTAGCTCCGCTGTGCCATTAACTGCAGCCATCAATTACTTCTATGCATGCAATCACTCATACTTCATTATTACTTTTTTATCAGTAAATAGCACTCGAGCAGTTCGATATGTCTTTATTTTGCTAGTACTTTTCTTTATTTATTTTACTGCTACTTTTATTTGTTTGCAATCTACTTTCCTGTTTTATTACTATTTATTTTATTAATGATCGAGTTTCTTTTACCAATGATATTGATTACTTTGCCAAATGTGCTGGTGGATGAATGAAGCAATCAGAAAAGATTGCCGAATTTTATCAAGGCAATGAGTTGGTCTTGAAATGCAAGCTGAAATTATGAAGAAAGTTTATACATCTACTCACTGCATAAATCTGAAAGTGATGATACAACCACTGAATTTACAGTCGTATAGTCTTCATATTTTGTGAGTGGTAGTTGCTGCATGTATGTGAAACTATGCACCAAGAAGTACTGCTCTGCTAATTTTCGTAAAAATATGCAGAATAGAAGTGCAAAATATATGATTGGTAATCAATGTAGAAAGTTAGAAATTGCATTCTGACTCAGTTAATTATGGGGCTGTGTTTGGTGTGCATTTTCCTACTTCATTCTCAATATTATTCTATCATTTTGGTGATTTCTCGGTGGTGACAAAAAAGATGTCTGTGAAAAAGCAGAGGCTGCGAAGTGCTTTTGATGGAATTAAAACCTTCGAATAACTTGCTGAGTCTTCCACTTCTGCCCATGCTTTCTCATCCATTTTTGCAATTTTAGCACTTATTTTTCTATCTAAAAATCGCTGCCAAATTTCATCGTTCGCTCGAAGTAAATGCCAATTATAATTGTCGTATTCGGCAGACAGAGCAAATGCGTCAATTGCTATCAATTGCAACCACTTCTGACTGAAACTTGACATTTTTCAAATTGTTGCAGCAATCTGATGCTTCCCAGCTACCTTCCGGAAGTTCCAGAAAATTCGCATACCTCATTTTTGATTCAGAATTATCTGTGAATATATGCGAGCGAAATTTTATTTCTTGCACTCGTTTATGAATTGGAGTCGTTATTTTGAATTGTTGCAATGGTAGTTGTGCCAGCAGTTGCTCTTTTATAAGAGTAAAAGTAACAGAGAATGTAGTAGGAATTCAAACTGCTCATTTCTCGCTGTCTTATCATTTATTAAGCTATCAATCATTTATTACATGAAAATTTATTTGTTAAAGTTAGACGGAGAAAACACTCACAATTTTTTGGATTTGTCGCTTACTTCCTTAGCTATTCATTTCCACTTTGATAAACTCTTCGAGGCATTTTTGCTGGCCACACTTTTCCTACGATTTTTGAACCTCACCTAATTTCTCTTCTCACTGCTCTCAGGCTCAAACAGTAAAATGCATAATCACGTGAGTATATCACGTGTGCTGACAAACATCCTCGCAAATTCTACTTCATGTTACTACCTAAAACTGCTTGACTGAGGCATTCCAATGTACTGCATCTCTAAGAGTAAGAAATAATCTCCAAAGACAAGCTTCACTATTTCATTTATGATTGAAACAAAGTGTTAATTAATATTGCCAACAAAAACATTTGTACAATTACGATCTTTGCCGATCACATAAAAAACTTGAAGGTTAACATGTCCTTCGCATTACACTACTACTCAATTACTTTGCTGCACTTGTTTGTAGCTTACGTAAGTAAGAAAGATTAATAAAATGTGAAAATACAGATGAAGTTTTATAATGCGTAATAGTATATCATACGACCCGGCGAGATCAGTCCCAGTTCCGTTAGAGTGAAAGAGGCAAATTAGTGGAAACCACAGATACTTACCTTCCTGTTCTCGTGAAAAGCTTTTGCTTGCTTGACTTGTTTCCGACCACTTCCTTACTGAATCGTCCGAAGTTACATTTCGAAGTAATTTTTCGAATTTTCCTGCAAACCGTTGAAGCTAAGTGTGTAGTTGACGTCATCAAGACTAATTTCCTTGCAATTTCCTTGCATATCTACTTGGCTTTATTTATGTCTCTGAAAGTGGTATCCAACATGTTATCCGATAAGTAGAAGAAAACTCTTCCTGTGACTGATATTACTTCCTGTTTGAATGCCCCATAATTCAGCACTGCAAATATCCAAATACTGCACTTTGGGCATTTTAGGAAGAGAAAGCCATACTCTGAGCAACGCTTTGCCTTCTTTTTCATTCAGCAAAGACTGGATCAGACCTTTCCTTCTCTTCCGCACTTCGGTAATATCTACTGAATTCTCTAATATTCTCTGTTTATTTCAGGGAAAGTCATATTTCAACTCAGCGTGTCATGGTGATCAGATTATTACTTTTAGTACTTATGAAAGTACACAAAAGTCATATCAGATATTTATGGTAGTACTGTAGAGCTCGCTGCTCGGTGCCAGTGCTTCAGATCTATTTCATTTGAGAAAATTTTGATGACAATTTTGCTTTTTTTTCACTTTCTGACCTCTCTCATTTGTTGCTTGAACTTTAACTCTTTCCCTATACACTACTTTTAGATTTTAGTCGCGCCTTATGCCTTCCAAAATGTCTCGCAATGAGTCCTGGCTCTTTTTGTCAAAATTTTTCTTCTGAGAAGGTCTCTAAAAGTAGTGATCTAAATAAAATTGGCTTTTTTATCTCACAGACTAATTTCGTCCCTGCAAACATAAACTTTGCATGCTGCGCAGAAACCATATTGATATCCATCTAGATTGTTTGTCAATTCATATGTACTTTTTCGGAATGATTCAAAATTTCAACCAAAAATTACATGCATTTTAATAATTATAGCTTTTTCTACTTTGCAAGTAAGTTTTCGCTTTTGAAGTGGAAAAACCATCCGAGAATAAAATCTTAAATTTCAACGTTACTATCTGCAGACAAAGTATTTCGTTAATGGATTTGAAGTAAAACTTTCAAACGCACTTCCCAACGTTATCGATTTTTACCTGTTTATAAACAATCAAATAAACAATAACTACTCATAAACTGTAATTATCTATAAACAGTATATTCT